TTGTTTTTTAATCAATGCGGCAAAATCATGTGACAATCTTGAACTCGTTGCAAAATCTGCGGGAATCTTTTATCCTTGCAAAAGAAAATTCATAATCTTGAAATCTGCATGGGGTAATCGTCTCAGGTTATGACTGTAACCATGGTTCCCTGAGAAGGGAACGAGACGCTGTGTCCAATGACGACGATATGGGTAACAGGTCACCATGACCGCGCCTGAAGCACATGTGCAACTATTCCAAATCTGATTGGTGCTAAATCACCGGAGCTATAAAGGATACCCGAAAACTCAGGAGGAGACAGCGGGGCGTCCAACGGGAATGATATCGGGAGGTTCAACCGACTCCTTGGTGGCCCGACGCAGTTCTTTAACTGGCCCAACCCCCTCACCTTCATTGAGGTCCCTCAGCAGGTCAGCCCGGTGCGCCTGAAGAACTCATGACCCACTGCCATTTAAGCTTTGCCCACCAAAGATAACGTTGTTCTTCAAGTTTTGGTCAGCAAGGTCGGGGCCAAGAGGGTCAATGCAGCTACAGGGGAGAGATAGCTAGCCAGCGTCTCTTCAACCCTGGGCATCGTCCCATCCCCGTGCTCCCTCATCCCCACGACCGAAGAATAGTTCAAAATTGTGGGGCTGGAGATATGAGCCGAGAATGGTTTATTCCAGGACCTCCACACCTCAGTGTCAGGTCCAGACACGGAGGTTGTGCTTTACTAGGCAGGAGGCAGGAGTCTTATTTGCTCCTACGGCGCCCTTCCTGCTTCTCGGCCAGCCCATCGATTTTCAATTTGGCCATGGCACATGTCACTATCTCCACCGGCTCCTCAAATCCTGGAAATCCTCTGCCTTGATGCTGACAATATCCAAAGCCAACATAGCGCCTTCACTCAGAAGAAGCCACAGGCTTCCGGATCCCGAGTGAAAGCACTGGAGCCCGCAGGTGAGAGCTGAGAAAGGGACGGACCCATCCTGTTCAAGCTTCTTTGCAAGCTCCATCTGCGACCCCCATGATGCGTGAGCCTGACCGCTCTCATCAAAGAGCGGAAGCCGATCACAGTGAGCACAGTCAACGCCCCCTCGAGAGACGACAGTGCTTGCTCTGCTCCCAGGCAACTCACACAGAGATCTGAATTGCTTATTTACCTTTTTATAAAACTAATATAGCCAGCAGCCATATCACCCTGTAGCCCAAGACTGGTTGCCCACTGAAGCTAAGCAGGGCTGAGCCTGGTCAGTACCTGGATGGGAGACTCCTGGGGAAACCAGGTTGCTGCTGGAAGAGGTGTTAGTGAGGCCAGCAAGGGGCGCTCACCCTGTGGTCTGTGTGGGTCCTAACGCCCCAGTAGAGTGATGGGGACACTATACTGTCAAAGAGGACCGTCCTTCAGATGAGACGTTAGGTCCTGACTCTCTGTGGTCATTAAAAATCCCAGGATGGCCAAATTTGCCCAGTGGCCTGTCCATCATGCCCTCCTAATTATCCCTATACATATATATATATACACTGATTGGCTTCATCACTCTATCTCCTCTCCACCAGTAAGCTGGTGTGTGGTGGGCGTTCTGGCGCACTATGGCTGCCGTCACATCATCCAAGTGGATGCTGCACTCAAAAAAATGATATGTTGGCTTTACTTAACTTTTTTCTGTAAACAGGTTCCACATAACTATGTTTCGTTAAACAAACATAATATGTTCACGTAACTTCAACATCATGGAATTTGGTCATTTTAAGCGACCCAATTAAACTCTGAGCTAATGAGTTAATTAAGTGAATAATTGAGTGATGATTGAGCATTATTGAAGACACCTGATGTTAACAAGCAGAATCTCTGAAGGAGAAAACCGGAATGTTTAAGTCACCATTATGGAGATAAGTGTTTGTTTTAGTTGGGCTCTTGACCATTAACTTATTAACTTAAGATTTTGTTTGGTTGCTGTACATGAGTTATAACAGCCGGATGAACAATGAACTGAGGAGATCTGATGGTGTTGGTTGTGTTTTAACATAATCATTATTTCACAATCATTTGACCTGAGTCACTGAACTTATATTAAACCCAATTTCTGAGTTAAGTTTACCTTACGAATAATAGTAGCACTATCATTGTAGAGCATACTATTTTTAGACTTTTCAATGAAATTTAAATGATCAAATCAATAAATAAAAAAGAAACTTCCTAAAAAAAAACATTTTGAGAAGGCACACACAGACATCAAGAATCAGCCTGTGAATCTCAACAATGGTGACAATTATAAAGCATGTTGCAGTGCATTCTGGGTGCCACCAATCAAAACTCATTCATGGCTCCCATCATGCATTGCTGCATGAATAAATAATGAGCTTATGATCGGTTTGTCACCATTGCTGAGATTCATATGCTGAATCTTGATGTCTGTGTGTGCCAATTCAGGATATTTTTTAAAAAGTTTATTTTTTATTTCTTGATTTGATCATTTGAATTTCATTGAAAAGGCTAAAAATAGTATGCTCTACAATGACAGTAAGGTAAACTTAACTCAGAAATTGGGTTCAATATAAGTTCAGTGATTGAGGTCAAATGATTGTGAAATAATGATTACGTTAGATCACAGCCAACACCATCAGATCTCCTTAGTTCATTGTTCATCCGGCTGTTATAACTCATGTACAGCAACCAAACAAAATCTAAAGTTAATAAGTTAATGGTCAAGAGCCCAACTAAAACACACACTTATCTCCATAATGGTGACTTAAACATTCCGGTTTTCTCCTTCAGAGATTCTGCTTGTTAACATCAGGTGTCTTCAATAATGCTCAATCATCACTCAGTTATTCACTTAATTAACTCATTAGCTCAGAGTTTAATTGGGTCGCTTAAAATGACCAAATTCCATGATGTTGAAGTTACATGAACATATTATGTTTGTTTAACGAAACATAGTTATGTGGAACCGGTGGATCCTGTTTACATAAAAAAGTTAAGTAAAGCCAACATATCATTTTTTTGAGTGTGCACATTGGTGGTGGTTGAGAGAATTCCCCCTTCCATGTGAAGCGATTTGAGTGCCTAGAAAAGCGCTATATAAAATGTAATGAATTATTAATTATTATTATTATTATTATAGATCAAAATAGCCTTACAGGACAAACGAACAGCAAATAAGACAGACAGTATACAAGAGCGCTTGCAAAAGACACAGAAGCTAACGTTGCTTATAGCTTCCACGGTATGCCATAGCGTCGTCATTGGATGCAACGTGGAGTTCCCTAGAAAGGGAACTTTCCTCACGCAAAATTCACAAAGCAAGGGGAAATCTTTCGTCCTCACGTGAAAATCATGATCACAAATTCTTCACTCAAACGAAATACCCAGAGTGGATTCCTATTGAAGTGATTACATTTTCCTCACAAAATTCGCCGAACAATGGTATATGTGACTGCACCTTTAGAGGTGGAGTCCAGCTATATTAAAATGATTTATGAGTCAAGCCTTAGTTACACTGGCATACTTTGATGTAGGGCTGCAACTAACGATTATTTTGATAATCGATTAATCGGACGATTATTTTTCGATTAATCGGATAAAATTTCAATTCGATTTTTTTGTTTATTATGACTAAATAAAACCCGGTTACACTTTATTTTAAGGTGTCCTTGTTACAGTGTAATTATATATTTAAGTACAGAGTAATATTAAGTAACTACATGTACTTACTATAGGAATAGGGTAGGATTAGGTTGAGGGTTAGTTGCATGTAATTATGCAGAATTTACTGTTATTACTACAGTAAGTACATGTAACAAATGTAACAAGGACACCGTAAAATAAAGTGTTACCTAAAACCCTAAATTAGGATATTTATGTGTAAAAGTGTACTTTAAAAAGTGCAAAAGCCACACATTGAGTTTTACAAATATCAATATTTGCATTGTTTTTAATGATAATTGCTGATGGCAAGTTGACAACCATGATTAATGTAAAAAAAAACATTTATATCCAACATATTGTTTTAACACAATTTTTGTTAAAACAAATTTACAGACATGTTGTTCAGATGTGAAGATATAAACTAAAAACATCTAAAATATATAATTAATTTAATTTTTATTTAAAATTAATTGAATTATAAGGATAATTTGTAAAAAATAAATATAGAAAGACTGAAAACAAGCGTGTGAACATAGAGCCGCAGTAGATCGCGTTTGAAAAACAATTAAAACTTAATAGTAGACAAATGCTATATAAAGAGAGCGGAGTGGAGGTACGCAGCAAGCTAACAGGCTTGATTAAAAAGACAGGAAAAATGATGCATTAGTGCACAAACATTCGCTGAAAACCACTGAGTACAGTGACTAAAAAACAATATTTTACTGTTGCTGTTATTAACTGCCTTTATATTTAGTGCTTCGCTTTGTAAAGACCGTTTTAATTTAATATTTCTGCGGTAGCACTATTTTAATCCATCACTTATGTTGCGAGCAAACTGATTGCGCAACCTGATGCTCGAGACGCAAAATACAGACATCCCAAGTCTCCCGGAAGTTCTGGGAGTCACCCGCATATTGATATGCTCCCTGATGCTCGCAAATTAGTTCAAACTCCCGGGATTTGAGCGCGCAAGCAAGAGCGCGCATGCGAGACAGAAGAGACTGTGCTCCAAACCGTGTAGCGCGAGCGCGGGGCAGAGCAACGGAGGGAGAGAGACCTTGCGTGTGTGTGCGTGTGTGCCTCATGAAGCGCGTGTAAGACAGAGAACATCCTGATTGGCCCGTTTCAACCAATCACCAGTAAACGCTCCCCGTGACGTAAGCAGACCAACTAATCGATAATGACATTCGTTGACAACGATTTTCATAATCGATTATTATCGATTTTATCGATTAGTTGTTGCAGCCCTACTTTGATGCACAAAACAGTTTGTCTATGTAGAGTTTTCCAAACGCAAATAAAGTACACAGCAACAGTGTGTATTTGAGAGAGAGTCTGTGGTAATCAGCCTGTGGCATTTTGTCATACCTGAATGGCGGCCAGGTTCTTCTGCTCCTGTGAAGGGGCTTGGTGAACGAAGCGAAGCCAGTTAGCGTGACGAGGGCTACTGGCGTCCAGGATATACAGCACGTCACCTTTATTCCCTCGAACCTGCAGAAGCACACAGATTCAAAGGTTACACACAGGTTAACTCACAATATTAGATCCTTTTTTAGGCCACGCCTAAAGAGATTTCAATCTCTACAACAGAAAGAAAATGCCTGAAACGCCCTGTTTGTAGTTCTTCCATTATTTCTGTGACGTAGCTACTTCACCATGTGATACATTTTCATAATGCTCCGCCCACAAAAAAAACTTTTGGGTAAGTGATTTTGATCAGACACTGCAAAGGCTTCCAATAGACCAATTTTCAGTTGGTAAACATGGTGACGTTTTTTGTGGGCGGAGCTTAGGTGGAGGCAGATCGATCCCTCTGGCCGCTTCCCTAACGTTAGTTTGTAAGTTTTATTAGCTTGTTTCTTAACAATGACTGGAGAAAATCCGATTTTATCTTAATGTGCAAGGTCACTCAGTGCCCAGGACCGCGATTGTTATTTGCAAAAGTTAATTTTAACGGACGGAACCAGATTGGCTGACCCGTACACACTCATTCAATGGATGGACGATCTGACAGGATTAACGTTAGCGCTACCTCCGGTTGAGTGGCCTGACTTCTACACCTATCCGATAGAGAAACATTTCCGACACACATAAGCGGTAGACCAATCACAACAAACTGGGCCAGCTGACCAATCAGATGCAGACTGTGCTTTTCTGGCATTATAATGTCATGATGATACTTTGATTTTATTGTTTAGCGTTTTTATTTATTATTTATTTAGACTAGTATACATTTTAATCTGCCATTTTTCACACATCAACCATAACATGAAAAATAGCAATATCGGACAGAATTTTTATATTAGCCTAAATCCCTACTCATTTGGCAAATATAATCGCATTCTTTGTTGATACAACCAGGCAGGCAAGTCTATCTAGTGACAATGTATTTCAACGTACCTTACACAGCAGTTATAAAGCACTTTTTTTTACTAAAACAATTTAGATTTAGAGTATCTGTTGCTGCTGTGCACACAAGTACTTTCAACATCTGTAGGAACAACCCAGCTGTCATGTGCCCAGTGTGATCATATCCTCAAACAAAACATATTTTCATCATTGCAAGTACACCGGCCGTATAGCGACTGTTGTCTAAACTTCCAATGGGGTCTTGCTCACTTCCCACAGGCATGCTCTTTGCCCAAAAATACCTATATTTCACTGTTTATGGATACAAATGATTATTTTGAGCCATTTCTCGGTCTTAACTTAGTTAAACGCCGGCTAATTCTGACTAATCTTGAAAGGTAAATTCCCTGAAATTGCCTGCATCATAACACACGAGCCGCATGAAAGAGCGGCACAGTGAAAGACTGCACACTAACATGATATATCATAATAATTATATGCACAAGTGTGTAATTTAAGAGTTAGGCTCACTATACTTTAGGCAGAAAAGTGTCATCAGGGCAGGCGGATCAGTAAATCACAGCTCTAATGTGGCTGAACACGACCTGATCTGCACTATAATTAAAACTTTAATGCAGCTGAAAATAAACTCAAATCTTTCAAGAGCAGATATTTGATGGGATATTAGATACGGCGTGCACTGGGAGACGCGTCTCGCTCCCGTAGCTCTGTCTGGCCTGGGAGAGTCCGTGTGAGTCGAGTTCATGCTGGCATGTCTCGTCCAATTAATCGTTGCCTGGAGACGAGCAATGATGCGTCTGTCTGAACAACAGGGGCAACAACTTCTCCAAGATGGTTCAAATTCAGTCAGGCCTCAATGATCTGTTTGCAAAGACAAACACCACTGATTTGAATAAATCTCTACCCAAAGTATTAAACTTTGGTGTACACATCTCGCACTGTTTGCGTCAATATCTCAAATCATGTGACGTTGATGAGAGGTGGTTTTTGTTTGGTGAACAATAAAATGGGTGAAAAAGTCCCATTCACTTAAAACAAATGAGAGAATTTAGAGTGTTTTTTGACCTACTTAAGTAGGACTTAAAGTCCCCCTGTGGTCAATAATTGTATCCCTTAAAACTCATCTCCGATCACCAAAATGACATATTTAAGCGTTTTTTTCCTTGAAAAAAAAGTCTTCATGCCTTAAAATAGCTTGAATGCACTGTAAACCCGAATAAGTTGGCACAACTCAAAAGATTTAAGGCAATCAGTTGCCTCAAATTTTTTAAGTTAAGAAATTCAAAGTTTAAGTAAGCAGAACTGACATATTTTTATTTTGTATTTGTACATTTGAATTGTTCTTAACTTGAAATGTTTGAGTACACTAATTCATACATTTAACTTAAAATTTCATGTAATCTCAATGTGAACACTTTTATTAGTATAAACTTAGCTAGCTTTAACAAGCTAGTTTGCTAACATACTATTTTGTTAACATCTTAACAATAGTATGCTATACAGTAACACTTGCAGCAATATAAAGGTTTTATTTGCTCTCAAATCAAGCTCATGCACCACTTGTCACCATGATGGTAACTATCCTAAAACCAACATTAACAGAAATTCTTCTAAATTAGCATAACGAAACATTAATCATTACTAAATCACCCGCTTAACATTAATCTTGCACAAAAAAACATTGTATTACACTTAATTTTAGCATTTACTCTCCCTTCCGAGTGCCATCGGCAAAGCATGCTGGGAAATATACATCCCAGCCATTTCAGTTAAACTTAAGTTCGTCTAAATTAAAAGAAATAATTTAATAAAACTCAAAACAATGAAACAGTTCAGTTTACTTAAAATATATCCATTCTGTGAACTTGAAAGAAAAAGAAAGTGCTAAATACTCATAAAAGTTAATTTGACTGAACTAATTAGTTTAATTTAAGTTTTTCCTACTCAAACCAATTAAGTATTTTGAGCGTTAGGGTTTACAGTGTGTAACTCGACACCCTTGCCTCATTTAGTATGCGCGGTTCTATGAATATGCAAATGAGCCCGCCTCCACTCACTCACTCAGCTCAGAGATCCACTGGTTGACGATCACACGTTGATCTGATTGGTTACAAGGTTTGTGACGTCAGAAACACCAGCGATTTCAAACCGTGTTTTTGAGACTGTCTTTGGTTCACTGCAGTTTTAAGCAGAAAATACTCAGCAATGCTGTCGACTTATGAATTTACACATGGTTTGTCTTAAATCATATTAAAAACACCACATAGGCATATAAACAACATTAATTTCTTCTTTTGTCTTTTAAATATGGTTAAAGTGTACTGTTGAATGCACTGTCAAGCATTTATGGTAAACTAAAATATACTTGTAAATATAAATGTAATTTATATTAAAAACATGCACGTCATGTTTTAAAATGTATTTGTAATTACACATTTATAATGATGAAGTTGCAATTCAGTACATTTAAAATATATTCTCTTTAAATGTAATATTGAAAACACACTACAGTTATAATCGAGTAGTTTACATGTGCTTCAGTATGTTAGTTAACACATCAAAATTCTTCTACTCAATACAATTAAGCACTAGCCTGGCTAACGTCAGACCCAAGTCTCATTGAGGCGTGGTTCAAGTCGGTTCAAGTCGTTTTTGAGGCGTGGTTTACGAACGCCCAGAGCCATTTATTGGGTGCTAAGAATGTCTATCAAATGCGCCTGTACGTAGCTCATAGCCAATCGTTTCAATTAAACCAGATGACGTATGTAGAGCGACAGAAATTAGACGAGGAAGAAGACGATGGGTCCGAGATTTATGTGTACACGATAGGGCTGTCAACGAATATTCTAAATTCGAATATATCAGGGCTCCAGACTAACTTTTTTCACCTCCGTCCTGAAACCGTCCTGATAAACAATTTGAACCGTCCTAAAGTGAATGTCAACCGTCCCAAAATGAAAATATTGTTTCTGTACTTTATTATCATCTATAGTATATAGATATATATTATATTTAGTTAGCTCCATTCAAAGTAGTTATCTGTAAATAGGTAAAAAAAACAGATTAAATAAAAAATAAAAGGAGTTAAATGCTTTTTTGTATTCATGCAGAACAATTTTTTTTTTTTTTTTTTTTACATGGTTGGATTAAACAATAACAAATAAATACTGGTGACTACATCTCAACGTGGTAATGTGTCATAGCTGATCATCTGGAAATGTGTTATTAAGAGAAAGGGCTTTAAAAAGTGTAATATGACTTATAGAACACAGAATTTGGGGGGAAATCTGTGTCTCCGTCTCAGTCTTTGTACTGACTGAGGTCTTTGTGCCGGAGAAAACATTAACCTGTTAATATGAATGATTTTAAAGTTTGAAAATGCAATACAGATACAGATTTAACTACTGTGACTTAAAAAATATCTTAAAATAAAATAAAACCACTTTTCCTAGAGTAGAACACAGTCTTCTTTCCAATTAATGATATATGCATTCTTTTTAACTTGCATACATCATTCTTTATTTTTTCAAGCAGCAGACATATTTATTTGTATGAATTCAATATTATGAATCCTTATTAAAGCTATTAACGAGCAGTGAATGCTTTTCTCTTTTTCTTTTGTTGCTTGATCAATATTAAAGCTCCAGTCCGTAGCTTTTCCTCTTTGTTGCCATCTGTCTGTTCGAAATCTATAACTGCAGTGATTCGCGGAATTATCATCTTTACGTGGGTTGTAAATCGGCATGAAACAGCGCGGATGAACACAGTGCTTTGAGGCGAGTACCGCGCTGTGTGGATACTGGCATACAGAATCACAGATTCACTTTTTGAAAGTTTGACCAACATAATAATTTTCATAAGAAAATGTCTTCTGAACAAGTCAGTAACATCCATTTTTGTTCTGACCAACTAAGGGGGAAAAAGCATTCGACATGATAAGCTTCGTTAGATTTAATCAACGCGATTTACAGCAACCGTGCAAATTATAGCCTACTTTGTTCTCAAATTCATGTTAACAACATCACGTCAGCATAGCGTGACTAATGTTAAATTTAATGTGTTTTATGGTTACCTGTGTAGTTCAGAATTCATATTCTCCATAATAGCAAAACGAGAAAGGC